TTACATCAGGCATAATAAAAATAATATTAAAGACATTTAGAAAATATTTTAATATTTATTATTTTATATGAATAGAAGTGATTCAGATTATATTGATATAATAGATGAAATAGAGAATATAGAACAAGTTGTGATAACTAATAATAGATGTAAAAAAATATGTTATTTTGTTTTAGAATTAATTAAGTTTGTTATACAATATATCAAAAATAAAAATGTGAATATTAATATAAATGCCTCCAAAGAAGAAGCAAGAGAAACAAAAAGAGATTGAATGTGTCAAATGCGATAAATGCGGTCAAGCAATTAAACCACTAAATGAATTAGAGTTAGATAAAGAACATGTCAAAGTTAAATGTTGGCCGTGTTCATGTGGTCGAAACATGCATACAGTTCATACAGTAAAAAAGAAAGATGCTGACGGTAGCACAGTTGAAGAAAGTTGGGTAGAAAACTTCAAAAGTGGATTTGGTAGGTTATTTACACCTGAGAAAGAATGATGAAAAAATAATAGTTAAAATTATTTCTATTATTATTTATAATGCAAGATGTTATAAATAATATTATTAAATTCATTGATGTAAAAGAATTGAAATTAAATAATTTTATTGAAGAATATAACGAAAATGATATATTAATTAATTTTGTTAATGACTTTAGAAATAGTAAAATTGATTTTAACATGTTTTATAATTCTATTAATTATGCTGATTTATTTGAACAATCAGATTTAAAATTCTATTGTAAAAGAATATATTCATATACTTTAAGATTTATTGCTAATTATGATAATAAAAATGCTATTCAGTTTTATGAAATTACATTGAGAAAAATGAATAATATTTACAAAAATAGTAACATTAATGTTGTTAATGTGTTTGAATGTATTAAATGTTTAATAATTTATATTACAGATAATATTGAAAAGTTTCATAAATATTCAAAATTTAGAAAAACTATTATTTGTAATTTAATTGGTAAATTGAATAATAATTTAACGAGTTACACAATAACTAATTTTGAATTGACTTATAATGATATATGATTTTGTAAAATAAAAGTTTAGTTTTAAAAGTTTTATTTTATAATATAATATATATATTTACATGGATGAAGGATTAGAAAAGATTGTTAAAAAACTGAACAAGGTTTTAGAACAGAATAAGAATATTTTAGAAATCTTACAAGAAATGGAAAAGAAGAAACCATTAACAAACAGTTATCAAAGTAAAGAAGTAGATAGAACCAATGGTGAATATAAAAATAAAAGAAATATTTATTTAAACAAACTTAATAACAAAGAAATTAAAGAACCGAAGGCTTCAACTATGACATTTTATCAAATTGACTATGACGAGGAAACGCAACTTTATTCATAAAGTTGCATTTACTCATAGATAATATTATCTAAATATCTTTAATAATGAACTTATTAGAGATGTTTAGCGGAACAGGCAGTGTTGGACTTGTTGCAAAGTCGCTCGGTTTCAATGTTATTTCATTGGATTTGAAAAATGCTGATATAAATACTGATATTTTGAAATGGGATTATAAACAATTTGATAGGAACCATTTTGATTTTATCTGGGCAAGTCCTCCATGCACTGAATATAGTGTAGCAAAAACTAGGGGCATTAGGAATATCGAATATGCAAATAGTATTGTCTTAAAAACTATTGAAATTATCAAATATTTCAATCCTAAGTATTTTGTAATCGAAAATCCACAAACTGGATTATTAAAACATCAGGAGTTTATGGATGAGTTTGATTTTAAAGATGTTGATTATTGTAAATATGGAATGCCTTACAGAAAGCGCACTAGGCTCTGGAATAACATTACAACTTGGAAACCTAGAGATTTATGTAAAAAGGATTGTGGCAACATCAGGAATAATAAACATATTGAAACAGCACAACGGCTACCATCGGGCACTAAGGAAAAATGGGGAGACAATCCAATAATACATAAACAGGAAGACCTATATAAAATACCTAGCGAATTAATTTGTGAAATCTTGGCGAGTTTGACGGATTAAGGATTTTGAGTTTGGGGCTGGGATTGAAACTTGAAATTCTTATAGATATATCCCCACCACACATACCCCATGTAGGTTTCTACGCATAGCCCATGTAGGTTTCTACACATAGCCCATGTAGGTTTCTACACATAGCCCATGTAGGTTTCTACACATAGCCCATGTAGGTTTCTACACATAGCCCATGTAGGTTTCTACACATAGCCCATGTAGGTTTCTACACTTAGCCTATGTAGGTTTCTACACATAGCCCATGTAGGTTTCTACACTTAGCCTATGTAGGTTTCTACACATAGCCCATGTAGGTTTCTACACATAGCCCATGTAGGTTTCTACACATAGCCCATGTAGGTTTCTACACATAGCCCGTGTAGGTTTCTACACATAGCCCATGTAGGTTTCTACACATAGCCCATGAGGGTTATAAAATTTAACAATGTTTAATCATATTATGACTAAATAATATGAAAAACAATTTCTTGATTTGTTCCACATTCGGTTTGAATAGCAGTATTGTTTGACATCCAAAACCAGCAATGGACAAGTCTGGAAACTCACATAGAGTATGTGTGGAAACTAACACAGAGTATGTGTGGAAACTCACACAGGGTATGTGTGGAAACTCACACAGGGTATGTGTGGAAACTCGCATAGGGTATGTGTGCTTTCATTGTAATATAATTATAACATGTAAAATCTTATACGTTGTAATTATACTGTACTTATGGTTTGTAAAGATTGAAATATTTTATTTTTCCTTGATTTGGCTGACTCTTTCTTAGTCGTGGAAACGCCTTTAAAGAAATACGGTAGTTCTATGATAAGGATGGAAGCAGTGAAAAAGTGTTCAAAGTGTAAAAATGATAAGTCTAAGGAAAGTTTCAGTGGTGATAATATGCGATGTGATAAGTGTTTAAAAGCTCAAAGAGACTATCAAAATAGACATAGGGAGAGAATGAACGAGGAACGAAGAATTAGATATGAAAACGATGAGGAGTATAGAAAAAAGAAACTGGAAAGGACTTATAGGAGAAATAAATATATTGTTAGTTGTGATGTTTGCAATTGTTCAATAAGTCAAGGGCATTTTGGAAGACATCTTAAAACAACAAAGCATCAACATAATTTAGGAAAGATACAAGCTGAGGAACAATGATTGGTAAATTAGATAAGGTTAATAGATGATAATGATGTATTAACCTTATGTAATATTGAGGGGTTTTATTGTAAATGAATAAGGTAATTTATTATAATGTGTCTATACTTGTTCAAAATAATTTTCAGGCTAGAAGTGCCATTTTATGTATTTTTCCCCCCCCCCCCCACCCCCCCCCCTCCCCCTACCCAACCCAGCGCCTGGTTTGCCAGCGCCAGCTGCCCGAGCAGCGGCAGCTTCTCCAGGCCCCTGCTGCGCAAACCGCCGGCGAGCCGCGCCGCCAGCGGCTGCAGCTGCCGCTCCAAAGGCCCCAAGTCGACGTGCCGCGGCCCCGCCGCGCGCCTTCGGTCATTCGGTTTTGGACTTCCGCTGCGGTTTGCGCAGCCGCTGGGTCACACCCCCCATGCCCCTCCCCAGGTTGCGGTCCATGCGGTTTTTGCCGCTGAAGCACAAGCACCCTGGTGGCTTGGGGGCCACTGGGTAACATAGCCATACAGGTTGCAACACATGTTCCAACTTGGGGGTGGGGCAGTGGAAGACTTGGATTTGGACATTCGGAAAAGACTCGGGTGGGACTTGAGGGGCTCTCTAACTTCGCCTGCTAGGCACACAGCTTCCTTTGAGTGGCGGCATTTGTCAGATCACGTGTTGGTGGGAGATGCAGTGTCAAGGGCAAAGTGAAAACACAAGCGCTTTGCTTATGCAACAAGCGGCCCTTTTCGCAGCTGCAGAGTGACCAAGTCAGCAAAAGGGCACTTTAGGATAGACCAATTTTCGTAGGGAATCCACCAAACATTGGAAGCTATGTAGAAGGCGTGCCACTGAACAACTGAGTCATACTCAAAACCTGGTATTAAACTGGTCTACCCAGAACTCATGCAAAGAATCAAGCAGGCGGCGAAAGCATCCTTTTCTGGTTGGGACTATCCCTTACTACCCTTCATCTACCCAGGTTTGACCCAACACTAACCTTTATGTACCCAGGTTTTGAGGACGTGGCTCTCGGTTTCCCTTTTGCACGCAGCCCAAGCGCCTCACCAGGAGCACATACTCCGCGCGCTTCGCCCGCTTTGGCGCCAGAGCGTGCCGGAAGAGAGCGATGTGATGGAGGCCCAGCTGGGGCTGCTTCATGTCGTATCGGAAGGACCTAAGAGATCCACATGCCCCAATAAGACCCGGAAAAAAGGTGATCCCCTTTTGGGGCCATGACCCAAATCGGAAAACCGAAAGGTTAAAAGGTCGGCAGTGGGCAACTGAGAAGAGATCCACCCATGTTCTAACCCTAGGGCTACTTAAACCCTAGTGAACAAGAATAGGTACTATACCCATACCATAAATTACCCTTTCATTAAACCTTGTGTGTATTCAAATCCCGGCAGGGGTGCCTAGCTAGGTAGTTGAGGCCTTGGGAACGAGGTGTGCTGAGGCTGTGCATGATTTACACCATCAATTCTAAAACATCGAAACCTTGTTTCAGATATTGTGATCGGTTGATCTGCTTGGATTGGTTGGTCGCTAGGGCTGTGTGCGTGTTTTGCGTCACCGGCAAGTTTTGTGCAGGAGCCACGGCCAACAAAAGCTACACCCACAATGAACAGGGGAAACTAGTGAGTCGATATGTGGTGGGCATGTAGTGGGCTCCCGATGTCCCTTCCAAGTTGACCACAGACTGCTAGATATATTTACCAAACCACGGCATCGCATCCGCTATGTTGAGATGATGCGCCAGATCCACACCACAAAGGTCCAAATAATAGTTCTATCAGTTCTACCTGTTGCCCTGACGCAGGTACTGAATCAACACTGCTTCACCCAGAAGCCCAAGCACTTTGCACAAGCATCTGGGAAAGAAAATCTTCCGTTCGAAACTGGGGTTTGCCATCGGCATCATCTAAAACCATAGTGAAAAGGGGGAAAAACAAAAACCATCCCCGAAGACGCCGACGCCGACGCAGCCGCAAACGCAGAGGCAGGGGCAGAGGCAGACACAGACAAAAAACTGCACACACACACACACAGTTGTATTTTTCCAACTGCCCACCTGAAACCCACCGTTCCATGGCGAAAGCAGTGCGGAGCTGCTTTCGTGTGGGCGATGAAGAGCACGGGTTGGGAAGAAAGAGCTGCCAAGACCGGCCCATGAAAAGCGAGAAACCTTAGTGCTTCGTTGATCCCTTGTTCAAAATTAAACTTTGAGTGGGATACCCTGGATATGAGGGCCTTGAACCCCCAAAGGCCTCAAATAATGAGGTCTTGGGCTCCTTGAAATATGTGATAAATCCCCCGAAGCTCTAAACACCTTTACTTCGAAGGGTACGGCTGGACACCGCCAAGAAACGACTTCACGTCTTCGGACTCTGGATGATCAACTCTCCAGCGGGCAATCCCATTGCGGGGCTTGCTGTCAAACACAATGCCCAGCTGCACATCGCCAGGGTTCCAGCGAAGTTCCTCTTTCAATGCTACGGAGGGGACCCACCAATGAAGTGCATGCCAGATGTTGGGATACGGCGTCCCCACCGGCAGAAGAAATAGGCGGCGATCGCTGCGCGCAGTGCCGTTCTGCAATCTCTCCCAAATTCCGCCACTTTCTCCCACCCACGCTGACCCGTCCTGGGTTGGTCTTTGATCCCTGCAAAACAGCTACACTTGTTTGATATTTTGTGGCAGGCCCAGTGCTGAAGGTTCAACTTTTAGTGTTCTAAACCCTAAGCCTAAGAGGAGAGGTGGGGAAACAGCCAGTTTCCAAAAGGCAAAATGGTTAAGGTCGTACGACTCTGCGAGTTTGCATGGAAACCAACAAGGCAAAGCTCAAGCGTGCCTAGGGCAAGAATAAAACTGGGACCGTGAAACTTGGTCAAAGTTCTGCCTCATCTAGGATGTATTTTTTCTACGATCATCAAATCGCCAAAATGGCACCACAAAAGGTCAACGTTCGGGGGCTCCTTGTTTGGACCATGTTCCTTTTCAAGGGACCCCCGAACGTCAGGTTCCATGTGAAAACGGTGGGGCAAATGTTGTACAAAGTAGGAACCAAACACCTTGAAGGAGCAGTGTAAAGGAACCAAATTCCTTGAGTTCCCCTAGTTCTGAAAGGCCGGATCACAAAGAAACTACGAGCTGCCAGTTGGATCAACCGGTAGGAACCGAGTATCCATTTGCTTAAGTCCCCTGCAAAAAATAATAATAATTCCAGTAGTGATAGATTCCCTTTAGAACCAAAAGGGGGAAAATAGTAATTATTCAAACCTTTCTTAACCAAATGGAACCGAGAATCCATGGCCCCGAATTCCGTGCACAGCGCGTGTCTGACGCTTCTGCCGCTCCCGGGCGGCACCCAGATCTTTCCCTCGGCCAGGCAGATACCGTCGAGCACCGCCGGGCCATCGCAGCGCTGGCCCTCGGGAGGGACCTTGGCCAAGGGACGGGAGCCCCGGGCAAAAGTGGCCACTTCGGGTTGGTGAAAAGCGACGAAGAACCGGGAAAACCGGCACTTTGAGGGACAAACAAAAAGCAACCACGTTTTAAGACCAATGCAGAATGTGGGAAAACCCGAGAAAACCGGCACTTTGAGGGAAAAACAACGGGAACACGAGCAGAAAGGCAAAAGGCCGATGGAAAAGGTGGCTAAGTCTGGCAATGGGGGCCAGGGCATAGGGGCTGCGGCGCCAGGCCAAAGTTCCCACCGCAGCTGCCGGCGACAGTATGGCCGACTTGGTCGCCAGGTTCATGGCACGCGCGGCGTTGAAAACCACATCATCCGCAGTCATATCCTCAGGCATGCTCCAGTTCCCTCATACTGATGATGGACGAAATCCACTTCGCACGTTTGGAAACCATGGTTGAAACATTAAAGGGGGGTCATTTCCCCCATGATGAACACTCCCATTCATGGGGGCTTTCGGAGGGAGCCCAAATAGGCCCTAACTAAGGCCTTACTGTGGTTGCAAATCCGCGAGTCTCGCACAACCGAAATCAGAAACCCCACGGAATGATATGCTTCCCCTGTAAATGCCAACGAACGGTATGGTTTTTCAAACGTAGTTTCTTAGGTGGCTCGAAATGGTTTTCGTCTATCCACAGTAGTAGGTAAGCAAGGGAACCACCAAAAAAAACTCAAAGTAAAATGGTTCGTTGTCTGCTATACAGGCAACTGGGCTCCAGTGGGAAGGGTAACAAACTTAGTTCCAAACCTCCTTGTAGAGTACATGATCTGTATGCAACCCTAGGTCAGCTTGCCGCAAACATACCTGCGCCTCGAGCCTCCAGGAACCATCCCAAACCTTCCCTGGCCCAGATCTAGGGTACACAACAAAGAAACGCTCTGACTCTCAATTTGTTTCAACGGTTTGCCCTTTTCATTCCCACAAATTTGTTTGGGGAGGGCCCTTCTTACTCGGTGACCCGCGTTACCCTCCCATCAATTACCATGGAACCTGACGATTGGGGGGGTCCTGGCTTGGACCATTTCCCTTTTTGAAGGGACCGGATCTCGAAGCTCAGGTTCCACGTGAAAAGGCTGGGAGACACTTTCCCTATACGTCGAGTTCCACAAAAAGAAGAAGAAAGGAAAACGGGGTGCCGCAAAAAAGTGTTCTGTTTGGGGAGGCCCTTCTTAATCACTGATCCCACACCCCAAAACACAACTAAATGTTTCTAGACAGGCACACCCCAAAACACCACTAAATCTTTCTAGATACAACGCCTGCTCGCAGACTCAGACAGCTCGTTCCAGCTGCTTCACCAAGGCTCCCACACCGCGAGGTTCAAGCAGTCCGCCCACGGGGCCATCACCACCAGCGCGAAGGACAAGAAGTACAGCTCCGCCGCCCGCGCCCAGTGGCGCTGCAGGGCGCAGGCCTGCGCCACCGCGATGTTCGTCGCCTCAGAGAAAGCGGCCCAAGCCCAGCTTATGGGATATGCAGGTTTTACCTCGGGTTGCAAACTCTGCTCCCCTGCTAAAAGTAAATAACTTTGGTGGTTTAATACGGAACACCCATGAGTTGAAGCAAGAAGTTAAAGTCCGAACATCCCTTGGCAAAATGCAACAAAGCTATATAGGCCTTGCCTTGGTTTCTGGAAGGGGCCCTCCGCAAAACATGAATCACTTTTTGGGGTTTAGTGGAAAATTCCCTTGCTTTACCAGAAAGTTAAAGTCTAAAGATCCAACCGGACAGGAGTCAAGTTACTATGGCTACAGAACAGGGTGCCAGAACCACCTACTAAAGTTGCCAAGGGTTTTAGGGGCGCTACTCACTTGGATGTTTGTTCAGGAACCTGGAAATAGGGCCACCTCTTGGGAGAAGATCTGGGACTCTGATAAATAGCAAGGTCATGGGCTGAGAAGCCACATCGCTGGCCACGCAGTTGCTCCGCGCGATGGCGTGGCGGAAGTCCGACAGCGCGGTTTCGGCCGCCTCCTCCGTGCAGGACTGGAGGAGCGACAGGTGGTGCGCCTGCTCGGAGGGGTTGGCCACCCAACGGGAGAAGTTCGGGTGGTACAGCCAGAGCCTCTTGATGTTGTCCCTCATGGCCTTGGGTGCTGTAGATCCTCCAGCAAAAAGTTTAACTTTTTGCAGCTTGAAAGGAAATATGAGGGGTATCCGAAAAGTTAAAGTCTAAAGATCCAACCCAATAGCAGTAGAGTGGCCATGATCATATCATAGCCTGTGCCTGCACAGGCGCACACTTCATACTGCCCCCGCCGCTTTGAAAGCACGGTCTCACGCAGCTTCTTCCAAACTCGCTTCTCCTTGCGCGCCAGCTGTGCTGCGCCTGGACTCCTCGCGGGATCGAACGGGGCGGTTCTTTGACCGCCCTGCCACGCCACGCGCAGCACGTAGAAAGCCAGCAGCTCGCCCAGCGCCCCAATGGTGTTGTCATGCTTCGTGGCGGTGAATCTCCGCCACACGCCATCCAGCTTTTGCAGGGCAAAGGTTTGCAACCTCCTCTGCCTATGCTTAGGCAACGCCTTCCGCTTGCAGAGAGGTGATGTGCACCGGACCTTCGCGACGCGGTGTTCGCCCAACCTCACGCCCCAGCGCGCTTGGAACCCGGACAGCTCCGCCTGAATCTCTGAGGACGGCACCAAACAGCAGCGCTCAAAGGTGAACACTGCATCGAAGCAAGGGGCTGCAGGCATGAAACAGCAAGTGCCGAAGGAGAATTGTCCTGACCAGCAGCCGGCATCATGCCGCATTGGTAAAATTCCCCCACCGGTGTACCCATGTGCTGCGATTCGACCTGCGCCAGCGTGTGGACGCAATTGGCAGCCGAACCGAACAAGCAAAAAATGGCCGATATGGGTTGGCCAACAGAGGGATCAAACGGTTTGCGATGGCTCTTTAATTGGGCTGGGTGTCTTCCCTCCATGATCAAAAGAGGGTAGTGGAAAACAAAGACACCCCTTGCTAAACGCAGCCTTCTTGAGCCGTGCAGGACTCGAGCATGCTCCAAACAACCTTTCTCAAATTGTCCGGTGCAAGCAGGCCATGGGAATCTTTCAGAATCCTGTCGAAAGTAAGTAGCTGCCAATGGGGGCGGGTCTTTTTAGGGCACCGCAAAAAACATGTGGTTTCCTTTGGTTTCCGTTTGAACCAACCCTGGAAAGGGTACCCTCCAAAAAAACACCCGATTGTGGCACCTGAACCGCTGCAACAGGAAACACTCTGCGGCCCTGGCTGGGGAATAAAGCCCTCGCCCATCCTGGATGCTCCTTCCAAGGAAAAGAACGGCTCCCGTTGAGGCAGGGATTGCTGCGGCCTGGGAAGAGGTTTAAACCTCTTAACCATCCACGAACAAAACCACAAATACATGTCAGCTTCCCTCCAATTGGTGGCTCGGATTCGTGGTTTGGTGGTTTGGTGGTTTGGTGGTTTGGTGGTTTGGTGGTTTGGTGGTTTGGTGGTTTGGTGGTTTGGTGGTGTGGTGGTTCAGGAGTGGATTCCTATCTACCCTCTACAAGGACCAGGGTTCAAATCCAAAACCAAACCACAAATCCAGACCACCAATTAGGGGTTGCCTGAACATGGGCCTTTCAGGATAGTACAATTGTGGCACAGGGACCTTTCCACGCCATCTGCACCAGAACGACGGAAAACAAGCACGGCTGCAATGGTGAGCATTGCCCCATCTCTCCTTGCTGCTTCCCAGTGAGTTGCAAGGGCTTCGAGAATCAGCCTAGGGAGCCCAAATAGGAAACCACCCTGAATGATTAGGGGTCATTCACTCATTCCCTGCTCAAGGGCAAACCCCTACGCACAAAAACTGCACAAGGGAAACCGTGAGGATTCCCATCTCCTGGGCGACGACCAGCTGGCCGTCCTCCAGCCACAGCCTGCTGGAACCCCAGAAGCGAATGTTCTTTGGGCCCCAGGTGACTTGGTCGCTGGAAGCACCCCTCTGCAAAAAGTGAATCACTTTTTAGGGGTTTAGTGAAAACACATTTGTTTCAACCCAAAAGTTAAAGTCTAAAGGTCCAACCCAGTAGCAATTATTCCCAAAAAACCAGGCAGAGTTTAAAACCTTTTGTCCCCTGGTGAAAACATATGGAGATAGCAAACCAAGGCAACATGGAACGCTCATCCCATGACAGGCCCTGTCCTACCGTTGCCACCAAAAAGGATGGACTTTGAGTGAGCAGTGCCCAAAAGTTTCTTGACTTTTGGTTCTACCTGGAAAAAGGCCTTGCAACCTGTATGCCACCACCCACTTCCTGAGTAGATTGCCCCAAAAACGCAACCACACTTCTTACTTGACACGCACTGTGGATGGCCCCAAACAAGTAAAACCACATTTTCCGCCTGTGGATGGCCGAAGAAGCCCAGGAAACGGACAACTCAAGAAGTCAGACAAGACCCAAAAAAACTGGCAGGCCCTCGATATTTTGGGGCCCTGCGCCTTCCCTCCTCCGCTTTTTCCAGGGAAGCGCCGCGCCGCGCCCCACGTGTTTCTTGGGGCCGCGGCAGCGCTGGAGAGCCGGGGGTCACCACAAAGTCGATCTGCCAGCGTGGCTGGGATCCGTGGCCAAGGCTAGGCTCAGATGCCTCTTGGGAAGAATGGGGATCGGCATCCGCCTGTTTTTTTTTATCGGTTGGTTGACTTGGGGGAACCCCTACCAAGAAATTGGCATCCGCTGTTTTTTTTGGTTGACTTGAAAGGAAAAAAGGAACCCGAACAAAAGGGGAAAAAGGCAACTGGGCAAGGGTTGGAGCTTTCATGTGGGACAGTAAGCAAGGAGGCAGCTCACCTGTCTTGCCCCTTTGAATGGAAAAAACAGTTTTGCTGCACCCGGCTATCTACGACCACACTTGCAATGAGAGTGAAAGCCGTCGGACAAGGCGATGGACATCCAATCCGCAGCCTGGATCTGCAAAATGGCAACATCTAACATGACTTGACACCAACAGTCAGAAACCTGAGGAAGTCAAGGTTCATTATCAAGGTCCTCCAGTAAAGAGGTTAGAATAAGGGTACCCTTTTCTCGGTAAGCAGCCTGTGGGCGCCTTAAGGCCCCCCTCCTACAAGCCTCTACCCAAATTATGGGCTATGACCCATTTTTTGGGCAGAGGGAAGGGGGGGGGTCCAAAAAGGGAAGGGGCCCCACATCTGGGTTGTCCTCAGATCCCCCGCAAAAAGTTTAACTCTTGGTGGTTTAAATGGAAACTACCACTAAGCACTAGGCTAAAAAAGCTAAGGAATCGGATGGCTGGGAGCCACCAAGACATTTGGTGCCTTTCAGTCTGTGGCTTCGGCCTGCAGTGAGGCCAGCTTCGCCCTGTCCAGCTTCACCTTGGGAGCATCCACAGGTGGGATCGCCGAGCCGACCACTTCGCCCGGGATTATTTGGCTGTGGATCAAAAATAGGTACCCAAAATGAAACCCCGGTAAGTGGAAATATGGATTAAAACCTGCGGTCCAATGGTGGCTGAACTTTGACCCATACCCATTTGACTCCGCGGCGTCCTTGTCAACAAATACTTGCTGGTGCGATACGCAGGGAATGAGAAAGGGAATGAACCCCTACAAATCCATCCAACTGGTGGTTTCCTTTAAGCGAATCCCTGGGTTCATTCCCACATTCCCTACTGAGCACCAGCCAAGAATACTAATAGCATATCGGCGCCCGGTCCAGGTCACCGATTGTCAGCCATACCCATCGCGCCTTAATAGGCGGCGGTGAGTTGGTTTTCGGTTTTGATATCGGTCAGGCCGACCTTCTTGGTTTTTAGTTCTTGTGTCTCCTCAGTTTGTAGTGGTTTAAGGCATAAGGGTGAACATTTAATTGGGAGAGTCTTTGATTTACTTTGGGATTGTTTGTTGTTTGGCTCCCGGGGGGGAGATTTTACAGCATTTACTAACAACAGCACCATCAACAATGCCAGCATCGGCTAAACACCCTGGAATTTCAACCGGCTGTTGTTTTAGGCTTTAGTTTAGGGCATGTTGCAGGTGTTTGATTCAGGGATTAGGCATGTTTGGTGGATTTCAGGCTTGATTAGGGTGGGTTTGGGTGTGGGTTTAGGGTAGGTTTAGGGTTGTTTGGGGTGGGTTGAGGGCTGATCTCTGGTGCGGCTTAGTGTTGGTCTAGGGCGGGTTTGGGATAGGTTTGAGGGTTTGTTTGGGGGCTATTTAGGTAGAAGAGTGCAGCATATCTTCAGGGTGGGTTAGTTTCTTTTTTAGTGGTGGGTTTAGGGCGGGTTGAGCTTCCAAAAGCCACGGAAAGATACCGACACCACAAACAGCTGCCAAGAACCCAAAGCAGAACAAGTTTCGCATAATTTTGCAACTGGAGGGATGCGCCTTTACATAAACAGTAAGAGACATGTTTATTTACTTCCAACTGACAAAGAGGCACCATCCATAAACGGAATCAGCGGGGCTTTGAAAGGCCCGTCCATGGCTTGGAAACAATGCAACACGGGCATTGCTGTGAATAACCCTCCTGGATTGGTGGATGATGGTGGCAAGTTCTTCCAGGCGCTACCTATTTGGAGGCTGCCTCGCGAGCAGCCTGAAAGTGCAAAACATTTTAACGGCCGGAACAGGACATGCCATGAAATGGAGCAAATTCGTTTCCGATTCAAGCCAGGCAGGGAAACCAGCCGAACCCAATCCTCTAAACCCAGAAAACCCGGCCCTTCAAATCTGAGGTGTGCTAAGACCAGCGCAGTCAGGGCGGAATCTTCCGCTTGAAAGTTGAGCCTAGGTCAGGAAAAATGCCTTGACAGCTGAAGAGCTTCACTCCCTGCCTGCAGCCCTGCGAGGTGACCTCCTTGACGTGAATGCACCTCAGGGAACTCTCCCAAAGAGGCGACTCCGTGGAAGCTCCCAGCCCTTTGGAAGCCTTGGCTCCATTCAGAGAGGTCTCCTGAAAGGGGCTTCCATGTGAGTCTGAGAGAGTGCCGAATGATTCTAAACTATCCAGGCATCTTTTGTGTTACGCGATGGGCAAGATTCGAGTTGCACTGCTGCACTCTTGTCTCGTGCCCACCACCAGCTGAGGCCCAGCTGATGAATGTCCAGCGCCACTTCATCCTGACCGGGTCTGCCCGAAACATTGACATCAGGATCACGCTTTCAAACCATCACCGCCACCTACACCCACTTGGTAATTATTGACGTGTGATCATTGAACACTAGTGCTAGTGTGTTCGAAAGCCCCGATCAAATCAAGATCACATGGCGCAAGACTCCAACCAATCACTAGCACCCTCAGAAAATTCCCACTGACATGTGCAACCAACCTCTTGCAGTAGTGCCGTACCTCAGGGGAGAAGAAAAACGACAACACAGAATACCCCCCCCCCCCCTGTGGACGCCTGCGCTGCTTCATCCCAAGTAGACCACATGCTTTTCACATCCAAACTGCTCCAAACCACTAAGCTTCCGTTTGGTGAAGACCCCTGGAAAACAACATATTTCCAGTAGTGATCAATTTCTTGGGGAAAACATATTCTTAAGCAAATGGAAGGGACCCTTCTTTCTTAACGGAAACTGACAAACAGTTGAACACCCTGATTCGGCTTCTCCGGGCGACCTTCAGCTGAAAAAAACAACTTAAGCAACTGGAAACAGGCGGTCCCGGTACACCGCTGACGCGAAGTTCTGTTGGGCGCCTCAGCGTCCAGCTGCAACTCGCAATGCCCCGTGAGGCTGCGCTCCTCGCAGCCGAGACCCTGCAAAACTGGGCCTGAAGGGGATGCCGTTTCTGTGTGTGTTTTCCCTGTTCATTTATTTATTTATTTGTTGATTACCATTATTATCATTGTTGTCATTATTGTTATGATTGTTTCTGTTTGTTCTTGGGGGCCCGGCCCTGGACCAGGGAATGCTGGCCCTGGACCCAGCATTCATATTCCTCTGGTTGATCTCCTGTCTGGCCTGGGGCGAGACCCCCGCAAATATCACCCTGTGGATTTCCATGGGAAGAAAAAACACAGCATCCTTTTTTGGTTGGTTGACTTAGCGGAACCCTTCCCCCCGAAAAATGAACAAAGGGGGGGGCGCCACGGGACAACTGGGATCATAGTCTTGGAACAAGAATGTGTGCACACCAGTCGTGACAGGGAACAGCAAGTCTCCATTTCTTACGTGCCAAATGGACAGATCAAGCCGAATCACGGCGAAGTGCCTCAAAGTGGGCGACAAAGGTCAGAGCCTCAGCACCCAACTGGTGAGTTGACCTTGAGATGCCCAGTGGATTTCCACGGAAAAAAAAGGGGCATCCATTTCAGGTTGGTTGAGGTTGAACGGGAACCCAAGGGAAAAAGGGGGCGCCACTGGGCAACTGGGGTTTTCATCTGCCTTCGCACTTGACCACCAATCTAGGGGTGCCTTCCCCATTCTTTCCAGGGATCCGATTCTTTTCAGGAACCATCAAAAGCCCAGGGAAACAGATCCGGTTTTTAGAAAAGAACGACGGTTGAAACGAATGGGGAATCAACCCCTAGAAAAAACCTCAAAACCGTTTTGGGAGGGTCCCCTCAAAAAAAAGACGAGCCCCCCATCTGGCAACCTCCTAGAACTAATGCTCTCAGGCTGGGGCAGTTTCCGCTGGACCGGCTGGCCGGTGTGCCTCCGCGTGGCCAGCGCGCACTGAGTCCCAATCTGGAACCAACAGTCAGCCGTATTACCGTCTGGTCGGTTTGCGTGGAACCCATGAACAAATCCCCGTTCAAGGAAACACGACTTTCTGGACGCCCCTGTGAGGCCCCATGTTTATGGATTTCGCTTTTTGAGCGAAGACTTTCACGTCAGCAGAAATGCAAAGCATGTGCTGCTCGGCATCCTGACAAAATATGAGCCATAGCCGAGCCGTTGAGTCGACCGACCGACCTGCCTCCCCTTCGGCCATTACGCCAAGCGCGCAGATGGACACGGGGAAACGGTTGCGGCTGAGGCATAGGTGTCTTGTTGGGGTGAGTGTTGTGAAAGATATGATGACTCTAGTTGCAGTTCGCTTCCCAGCGCATACCAGTGCCACCTATTCCTCCAAAACGTCTATTTGAGGCGGGATAAACATGAATCTTATGTCAAGTAATTCGTGGGTGGCTTGGTTGGATTGGATTCAGGTCCCGGCATGACAAGTACCATAACAATAGAACTAAAGTTGACCCGGGGATGGGGCCTCTCCAAACGTGATGAATCCCCACTAACCCAGGGACACTCCCATGTTAATAGTCTTGGGTTCATTAATCCGAGGTCAAGACTACCCCACAAACAACACAGCTGGGCTGGGAAATGTGTGCAGCAATCCAGGGTGCAAACTGCTGCGGCGAGGTGGAAAGGAGTCGCCACTGCCAAAAAGCATCTGCTTGTTGGAGGTCAGCCTGCGAGGGGCAAAGTCACATTTAAAAAGCAGCCATACAATCAGTTTGAGTCCCACTCAACCTGGGTAGAAAACCCACGGATAGATGCGGATTCGCAGCTGCAGACCTGAGAACACCATACTGCCGGTGCAAGTGCTCCGTCTAAACACAGCATTGTTGCGTGACAGGAGGTTCCACATGTGGACTGATGCCTGTGGTCCAGCGACTAGAGGCACGGCCGATCCTCCCTGGTTGGCACAGGATCTTTCTTCTGCAGCTGAGCACTTCTCCGAATTCGATGAATTTCTTGCGCAGCGAAGCACCCGCGCCAATTAAGAACAGCACGGGGCTTGCGGGCCCCTGCCGCTACATGGGAAGCCTGACAGGCCTAAAACGACAGGGTAGGGGTGGTCATCAAAACAGCTGCCCCTCTCCGTTCACCCACTTTCAGTGACTTTCAGTATTGGCCATCATTCCCACCGTGGAGTGGAATGAAACAGAACCACCTCCACCCATCCAAAAAACCACGGCTGGTGAAACCTCTGGTCGCGCTCATGCGCCGGCTTGGCTCTCGGGCAACCCGATCTGTCGCGCCGCATGCGGCCGGAGCCACTGGACCCAGGCCTCCGACCTCGGCTCGAGCGCTGAACGCGTCCACTCCGACCCAGGAGAAAGTGGGTGAGGCCCTGTAGAACCACCGTACAACAAGGGTGTGGGTCAAAAATAGGTACCCAAAATGGAACCCTGGTAAACAGAAACAAATACTCAAACCTGCCGTCCCCTGGTAGTCGAATTTTGACCCACAGCCACAAAGGAGAGGGTACAAACCATGAATCAAAAGTCTAGTTCCCCCTTTCAAGGTGTGAGTGGAAAGGGTATAAACGATTATATATGCACATATGGCAAGAAATAATTGTTTCCTTCAGAAAGGTGTAGAGGTAGTGGAAACCCTCCTAGATGGCTGGAGCGGCAGGGTGGTGCCGGCTCCCTCCCTCCTTGCAGAACCCCGCCACATTGGAGGGGCATGTCCCCCTCAAACACCTCACTGCAAGGAACTCACGGCCTATCTTTAAAGCCCCATGCTGGTTTTGATCGTTTGCCTCCCAAGCCCGAAAACGACGAAACTCAAGAGACGCGACTCAACATTGGCAAACAAATGGTAAGTAATTGAAACCGAAAAGATCGAAAAGAGGAATGCCGCAACCCCTGTACTGGGCCTGGGAAAATGGATGTGCAAAAGATAGAACGCCTCTCTGTCCATTCTCCCTGAGAAGAAGGAAGCCATCCTCGTAGAAAAGCGGTTGTGACCGAATGATTGTTTGCCAAAACGGTCAAGGTTCAAGGCCCGAGTCACCCGCCCTTGTCACGAGAGTCAGTTCATGCAACGCTAACATGAACGCAAAGCTTGAAGCAAATCAGGCTTCTTGCATACAAAAGGAGTTGCTCCTGCAGGAGCCCTAGACTCTAGACTCGACCAATCCCCCCGGGGAGCGCGCACTGAGATGGCTGGGTCCCTGGAGGATCGGAAAGTGCACCTGCCGGGCACGTGGATTCATCACACATATTTACACCCAGTGTCTAAGGCTAAAGGAAAAAACCATCAGGAACATCACCCTTTTTTTGGGGGGGCCCCCCTAAAATCAGTCGCACCCATAGGGTGTATGCACGAAATCCTGCACCTCTTTGAAGCCATTAAGAAACCATTGTTTGTCGGTATTTGCCGGGGAATCATCATTCCAGGCTTTCTTAGGTGGTGCTGGATTTGGCCCATCCAGTATTTTCCTGGGCCGCAGGGGTGCCAGAGTTGGTCTTGAGAGAGTCCAAGGACAACATTGTGATTGATCGCTTGGGGAATCGGATTCAAAGGCACCCGAACCACTGCGGGACTTCTCAGTTTCAGATGGAAAGAAACACTTCGCACCAGTTGGTGCAGCCTAGAAGCCAAAGACTACCCGTGCATCCCTTGCGCCAGAAAGTCTCGCATGCGCCTTTTGCCCTCCTCGACCCAAATGTCCACCTCAGCTCACACGCGCATCTGGTTCTCCCGAAGCAATCAAATCCACCGCTTGCTCAAAGCGCTACGACAATCCATGGGAACAATATATCTTCAGCACATGGAAGGGCCTAAGCTGTCAATCGGGGTGCAAATTCCTTGCTGGCTGTTGACCCCTCTGCAAAAGGTGTATTTTTGTGGGTTTAATGGAAACCCCCTTGATTTTCCAAAAAGCTAAAGTCTGAAGATCCAACTCAGTCAATAACAGTCAAAATTTGTCCTCCCCGAAAAAAACCACGACTTGAAGCCTGAAGCTGTTGGATTTCCGAGCGCGTGTGAGCTCGCGACCGACCAGTGGTCGTGCTCAGCGCTCCATTTCCGCAGCACGCCGTTGGCAGGCGTGCCAAAGATGTCGAAGACGGTAATCTGTCGGATTCAGCCAGGCGAGAAGTTGCGCATGGTGGAGGTCTAAGGGCTGAGTAATCATCTTGGACACTTTTTACTGCGCCTTTGCGTAAAATGCAAGTCCCATCTGGAAAAGGAAAGGCTCAGGGATTTTAACACTCTGCTCACCCTCTCCTCTTCAGGCTTGTAACATCTTAGATATGACATTCAGTGCCGTGGAATCCAGCTGCCTTGCTATTTGCCAAACCTCAAGACCCCAAGGCTAAAAGTGAACCAACAGACCCAGCTTGAGCTTCGGGAAGAAAATCAGGCCCTCCCCTTTAAGAAGGTCCTCCAACAGGCAAAGGGGCATATTGTCAGCATCAGCGGTGTCCCCAATTGGATGCGTGTGGACGATACTTCAAACGGGATGTCTGCCTTTCTTCCACGCCGGAATCGCCCATATTTGTAGGGTTGAAACACGGCCTCTCCCACAAAAAAAAAATTGAGGGACACCGTAAACACATCACCCCCCGCCCACCCTCCCCCCACCCACACAACACACCACACTGTGGAAAGACTCAAACATACCCAAATTGGAGCCGTGCTTGGGGGCAGTTTGTTGAGAACAGTTGGATGCTGTCCGCCTCTTGTCCAACAGCTCTGTCCAACATCCAGGCGCGCAGCTCCTGCACAAGAGCTGCAACTTGCTAAACGAGGGAATGCGCCTGCTAATTGGTTGAAAGGGAGTGTCAGACACTCCATCCGCCTTTGGGACCATTTGGATTTGTTCCATAGTTCACCTGTTCCCTCCCTTGTAATTTTCCTGGGGTTCATCCCCCAGAGAACCAACAAGACGATTCACGCCAAGGGCACGATGGGCTTCCACAAATCGAGCGCTGCTAAAACCCATTCACGTGTGGCAGTACCAAGATGGTAAGAAAGGCCCCACCACAACCTCTGTCAAGCCTTGCTTCAATGGATCAAAGCATTCCGACTTGATCAACACGTGGGGACACCACGCAAACTCCGCCCGTTTCGTTTATGCTAATTGCAGGCTTCACCCTATTGTAAGGATCACTCGCTGGTGAGCCTATCCCCTGAAATCCTGTCCTTGATCATTGGCGCTGCAACTGCGTAGGCCAGTTGCTGCCGTCCTTGGCCCAAAAGCAGCCAGCCCATGAAGACGGAACGGGCGCCTCCAATGGCACGTCATCCCTGCCATCCCAACTGGGTTTCCGCCCATGCCTGCAGGCTGCAGCAACTCCGAGGAAGCCCTTCAGCCACGGCGTGACCAGCAAGAAGCGGACTGCAAAACAAATGATCTCTTTCCGTTTGGGACGGCCCTGCTGCACGTAATTCACCGCGGTCAGAATATTTCTTATCTGAGGTATAGCCTACATGGTTTGAACATCCAAGTTCCCATGCCTTGGGCCGCCACCGCTGTTCTTGGAGCAGTTCTGCAGCTGAGACGTGGTGGGCATCTTCAGGTTGTTGTCCTGCCATGTCCGCATTCATGACATCTTACTCTAGAAGTCGTAGAGCTAACACCATATGTCCCTCTTTGGGAATTCCTCCTTTCAGTATTCATGATATCCCTGCACGATAGTTTAGTCTGCCCATCAAGAGCCAACAACTACGATGATCATGTTGCTTTAACTTTGACGCAGACCAGCTTGAAAGGCAAGTCAACCTGAACAACAGCCATGTCTTGTATCTAGGCATCGCGAATGCGTCGATGTTCCGCGCCAACTTCTTGCAAGTGTCAGGCAATCCATGCAGCCGCTCCAAGTAGTCACAGAGCTCGGAGTACTTGGCAAGCACCTGCCACCATGTCATATTTTCCCAATGGACTATGCTAAAAAGGGGTGGTTCTCCCCCTTTACCAAGCAAACAATCATTTTTAGGGGGGTCCTCTAAACCCTCATGTTACCATTCGAGTAACACCCCCTCCTGACCAATGCTTATCTCCACCACAACGACGTTGCTTTTCAGAGAAAGTGAGAACATCACGCAAAATACCCTCCCCCCACCCCCAACAACAAGTGCTTCGCGTCAAAACCACGCTGACTAGCCCAAACACTTGCACCCCCAGGAAAAAGGGGGCAGCAGCAGCAGCTTATTTTTTGCATTACTTACAGTAGCGCCTTTCAAGGGTGCCGAGAACCTGCTTGTCCGAGCATGGTTTCCCGACCTCAATGGCAACGCTGCGATTCAACCAAATGGGGCCCATCCCTTGTTTAACATATGTTGTTCCACAATCACATTGTTCTATATTGTTCTGGGTGTGTTGACCGATCCTCCGGCCAGTCCAAGCCAATGTCTTGGCGCCTCTTTGGCTGACTCCTCTGCTGGTGGCGCCAGCAGCAAGACCCGGCCTGGCAATTGCTTTCACAAGGTGTTGCAAGGCACTCATTGCCTCACAGTGCAAAAGCAACAAGAAACTCTGTGGGGTCAAGATAGGAGGGGCGAGCCCCAAACACCTTGCAGCGTGCCTTTTTCACACAGCATTCCTCTGTCTGCCTTGGTTTCAGCATCAGCATCAGCATCAGCATCAGCATAATCATCATTTTCATCCTCATCATCATGATCAAACATAATTGAATGTCTTTGTGAATGCATCCTAGCAAAGCGCCAAACAATAAGCATCAGTCACGCTAGAATGGAACTCGCCAGCACAATTTTGTTCACCAGCACTTCCGACCTGCCTGAGTTACCCTCCCACTAATTAATATGGAACCTCATGTTCGCGACCGGTCCCTTTAAAAGGAAAATTGTCTTCCAGGAGCCCCTGAATGTCAGGCGGGGGTCCCCGTATGTCTTCCAGGAGCCCCCGAACGTCAGGCAGGGTCGTAAAAAGAACATTGTATTCCAGGTAAAAAGAAAGTTGTCTTCCAGGAGCCTGCAGAAGGACGAAATCCATTTCGCACTACCTCACAACCATGGGAAACCATTGTTCGTGGGGATTTTTTCGGGTGTTCATAACATTCCATGGTTTCTTAGGTGGTGCCCTGCCAGATCGCCAGGTTCCATTTTAAATCGGAGGGAAAAACCTCCGCGGCCCATGCGGACTCCTTGCAACTGGCCGCCGGCCTAGCGGCCGCTCCTCCGGTGTGGGCAGCGCCTGCCCCAGGCTTCCCCGTTGAAAGGACCGCGTTTCCCAGCTGCGCAGCTGCAAAAATATGGCCGTTTTGTTGTCCACACCAACACATAACAGAACCAACAACAAAAAAAACTTGTTAAGAACAGTGAAGCTATGGTTTCTCATTGGCTTTCTTCAGGTGGTTTGGGCGTCGGAGTGACAAGTTGCCCACCTCTGGATCCGGCCCAGCTTGCCGCTTTCCTCAGTCTGATCGAGTCCCCGAGACGCACGATGTTGGGCGTTAAATTTGGGTCTGGATCAACATAGAGGTGTTCCTTGTGGTCTCTTTCAAGGCTGAACAGGCTTAGTTCCCCCCAACAACACACACATATGAGCCATGAGGACCTGCTTTTTTTTTCTCAGCAACAACTACACATGAGCATCCGCAGGAAGACTTGGCATAGGCATCCAGCAAGCCTACACTTGGCTCAGGTATCCGCCTGCGCCAAACTGGTCTCCCCCTTGGGGCCGCGAGCAATGCTCAGCCCTGGCCGCAAAGATGCTGAGGCAGACACTCCAGAAGTCGTTGTTCCGAAGCAGCGCGCGGTCGATGATGTTGCGCCAGTGCCTCAGCAATGACCTCCATTTGCTGAATTCCCCTGGAAACAATGGACATATGCCCAGTTGTAGTTCTGAGAGATGATTCCTTTTAAAGCCAGCAGGAGCGCATAAACATGTGTACATATATATATATATACATGTGATTATACACATCCTTAATCAAATGGAAGACCACGGTGCTAAGCCTCGCTTATGCCAAACCACCAGCTCGTGCTCAGTAGGGAATACCCAGGGGCCTCCTATTAGAGGAAACCACCAGTTGGATGGTTTACAGGGCTCAATCCAACTCTCATTCCCTGCATCACTCGCGCCGATCGCAAGCAAGCTGGGCCCTGGCAAATCAAATCATGCTCTGAGGCGTGGTCGCATCATCGCACTCGAACCCAAGCTTCACCTGCCCGGCCCAGGTCACCCCTAAGTTGCAATCAGCGCCCCCTACTCCACAGCTTTTAGCCCACGTCCCCGACACCTTTTAGATTCTGGCCCATGTATTCCCTCCAGCACCACACAAGCTCGGCTGGGGCCGCTGCGATCCCTTCATTTGAATTCATCATCTGGCCAACTGCCTCTTCAGTTGGCCTGGCGAGCTTTGAGCTAGAAGAATGGGTATCTACACTTCATCACCTCATCTTAGCAAGGCTGTCCTCAAAAGCCCTGAGACAATTATCGCATGACATCCAGACGGGCTGTGCTGAGCCCAGGGTGCATTATGCACCCTTCCCTGCCTGCCAAAAAACTGGCCCATCTGCTTCTGATGGGAAAATCGCAGGTGCTCGATGTTGCATCCTGGGTTGTCCTGGAAAAGCCACGGCGATCCTTGTTAAGACTCAGTGCACATGTAGGATCTACGTTGGGATTGTTCAAAGCCCCTTGCACGGGAACATGCAGAATCTATCTATTCTGCGCCTACAGGAGAAGGGACTGTCTATGCACAATTCCCGCAAGCCCCCTTTGAAACCACGTACCTGGAAACCAGTGTCCCAATCAAAGGCTAAGCCACACAACTGGCTTGTTTGTTTTGCTTCTCCTTTTTTTGCGCCAAGAGGGAGGGCCAAGCCAAAAAAAACCAAGCCCTTGAAACATCGGTGGTTGCCCCCCCTTTGGCCCATCCCGCGCGAAGACCCGGCAAACCCCTACACAGGTCGAAACAAAACGCATTCCCCCCAGCGAAAAACGCGAAGACCCGGCAAAACCCTACAAAAGTCGAAACAAAACGCATTCCCCCCGGCGACAAAAAACAAATCCAAGGGCCCCCCCCCTTTGCTAAGAGCCGCGAAGCGCAGTTCGTCCTTAATCGCCAGGGCGAGTTCCCGGACCGCGTTGGAGTCCAGCCAATTGCACCTGCGCGCTCGGGGCTGGGGGGCTGACTTGGGCCATTTGTTTTTGCCAGCGACCTTTCGAAGGTTTCTTGGACACAGGGTGGCTCTTCTTTCTGAGGCTGTCACCCTCTGGAGGCTCAAACAAGGCTCCATTCCCTGCCCCCCCCTTTCTGAGGTTTTCAGCCAGTTTGTGCGGCTACCAAAAAAAACATCCACGTCCATCCAAGCAGGGGTCTCCCCGCTCGCATGCGCTCGCCCGCTCGCAGCCGCTCGCCCGCTGCTGTGCCCGTCAAAAGGGCGGCACTCGAGGTTCACAGTCTTCAAGGTCCGGTTCACCCGCAGGGATTGCGCCAGCTCCACGCCCGAGGCCTGGAGCTCCAAAACAAAAAGCCCGCGCGTCCGACCCTCTTTTTTTTTTTGGGGGGGGGGGAACCAGTGGTGCGGGGCTCCCTAAATATTTTCCAAACCAGAAAACATCGCCGCAAAATAAACGCTCACCTTTCATGGGCCAAAAAGGTGAGATGTTTATCTGACTTGGTTGGTTTTTTTGGGACAAGTCATGAAGGTGATTTTAAAACCCAGCATGTCCCAAACTGAAACATCGCCAGCTGCCAAGCCTTCTGGAGATTGGAGTTGGATAGCGTCAGATTCTCCATGTGGGTGTTCCTGCAGCCAGGAACATTTGGCAAACACTAAGTCATCGCAAAAACACAAGCTGGCACAGCCTTTGTTCGTCTGCAAACAGTGCACAATCCTGCATTGGCCGTTGCCACAAACACGCGCCTTTGCGGGTGCCCGCATAGGAGACAATGCTAGAGCTATGCTGCAACATAGTAACAAGGAGTTTAAGCTCCGCCCCGTCCTCTACGTCTTTTAAGTAACCTTATCTGGTGATGCAAAACATGCCCAAAGTGCAGACTTCAAGGTGTGTTGCGTCATTTTTGCTCCGGATGTACAACGTGAGTGAAGCAAACAAGTAGCCCAACACAAGCATTAGGGGCCACCAAAGAGTGGGATGTATGACTTACACACACACACACCCTGGCCGACGCATTGCGGACGCCAAGTGGGAAAGTAACACTCTGTGACCATCAAGCCACGTGGTTTCCACGAAGCACGGGTTGTTGCCTGTTGACACCGAGCGGTCTTTCACCTGGTCAGCCCCCCATGATCCACCTTTTCTGTCTTGAAGTCTGTTTCAATAGAACATACACATGTTTAATGCCTGGTGGCGATTCTATTAATTGTATACTTATGCTGATGCTTAACATGGCAAATCATGAGCGTGTTTGTGCACAAGCCTTGACCAGATTCTTGGGGGGCTTTCCACATTTGTGTTGGCCATGAAGAAAAGCGCATTTTTACAGCGTGTTCTTGTGTTCTACTCTTACGATGCAAAAACAGACATCGTGTTTTACCGTTCTTGAACATGCAAGTGCAAAACCATAGCAACAAAAAGAATTAAACAAAACTGAAGAAAACCAAGCAAGCGAAATGACACGTCGAGCTGGTTGCTTTTTTTGAGGGGCTATGTCAACAAAACAACAAAAACTGAAGAAACACCAAGAAAGCAGAAAACCTCGACCCCCCCCTCACCCCAAAAAAGCAAGCAACAAAAAACAACGCAGAAAAAAGGAAAAACAACATCTCTGGTGGAGAATCTTTGGTTTCAGCCCACTTTGTTTTGTGTTCCCTCGTTTGTTGTTTTTGACATTAGCCCACACAAAGCCATAAATTCCTTTTTTACCAGGCCAAATGTGAGAAAATCAACAACATATCGTGTCTGTTTGGTTGTGTGATGATGTCGAAGAAACTATTGAACAAGCTGAAGGAACACCAAAGAAACAACAAACCTCGAGAAACCAGGCAAAAGTTTGGGGCTGAAACAAAAGGTCCTCCCAGAGATGTGTTTTTGTTTTAGTTGGTTTTCTCGAATTGTTTTGTTATTGTTTGGGTTTTTCCTCAGTGTGCCTTGTTCTTGACATTATCCCTCACAAACGCAGCCTGCGCAGCGGTGCGTGAGGTCTTGCGATGTCTCAACATATGCAGTTCGGGATGGGGCGCAGGTGCTATACAAGCCGCAGGCGCCAGGCATGCGTGCGTAGGTCCCCCCCAGACACGTGTTTGCGGGCCAACCACAAGTGGCCGTGGAATTTTGCAAAAGTCATGGGGGACTTCCATCAAGATCTGTCGGCCATAGGGCCGCTCATCCGGGTGAACCGGTGAACTGGGGTCGTGTAGGAAAAGGGTGGATTTAAGAGTAGGTTTGAGGTGGGTTTAGGGGTGCGTTCAGGGCTGGGCTTAGGTTGGGCGTAGGGTGGGCTTAGGGGTGGTTTAGAGATGGGTGTAGGGTGTGTTCAGGGTTGAGGGTTGGTTTGGGGTGGGTTCAAATAGGGTTGGGTTGGTTGAGGATAAAGGCGGGTTTAGTCTTTTGGGTGAGTTTAGGATGGGTTTAGGGTTTACGGGGTTCAAGGTACGCTCAAGGTAAGGGTAGGATAAGGGTAGGTTTGGGGTGCACTTAGGGTGCGTTCAGGGTGGGGTCAAGGGGTATAAGTTAAGGGTTTCGGGTTTAGAGTAGGCTTAGGGTAGGTCTAAGGTGGTGCCAGGGGAGGTGTAGGGTGGGGATGCTTGCTTGCTTGCTTGCTTGCTTGCTTGCTTGCTTGCTTGCTTGCTTGCTTGCTTGCTTGCTTGCTTGCTTATTTGCTTCCTTGCTTGCTTGCTTGCTTCCTTGCTTCCTGGCTTGCTTGCTTGGCTGCTTCCTTGCTTGCTTGCTTCCTCTTGCCTGCTAGCTTGCTTGCTTCCTTACTTGCTTCCTTGCTTGTTAGACAATGAGAGTGGAAAGAGTAACGGAGCAAAGTCGAAAACTATCACGATAAATTAGCTCACCCGGAGGTGACACTGGTTTGGCTTGCAGGTTGAACATGGCACATTGTCACATACACTTGATTTGGGCCCACAAATGGTGCAAACGACACCGAAGAAGTTGTTTTATGGAGGCGGGGCCGAGCATATATATATATATATGTATATATGTATATATATGTATATATGTATACTATATGTACATATTCTGTATATGTAATATGTACATATGTATATGTATACCTATGCGTGCATGTGCATGCTTCTGTTGAGAATGCCCTTTTCGGATTTTCGAGAGGTGTCAAAAGGAAAGGCTTGGACCCAGCTTGCCTGGCCATGGCCACCACCAGCTTGGGCGCGATGCGAGGCTCCATGTGGGGGGGCGGCATGTGCCTCGTGGGCCCAAAGAAATGGGGGAGAAACCTCACCTAGGTCCTCCAGTAGAGAGGTTAGAATAAGGGTACCCTTTTCTCTGTACTCTACTTGGTAAAAGGGCACTGGGGGACCTAGTCACAAAAGGGTTCGACCCAAAACCCCGGCAGAAAGGGCACGTATGGCTTCCCAAAACCTCAAAAAGAGACCCCTTTGGCTTCCCCAAACCTCAAAATGGGAGCCCCAATCATTCGAACCACACCCCGGTTTTTTTGGTGGCAGCCAGAGATATGGAGAAGCCTTCCCGCAAAATTTGATTTCTTGCCTGTGATTTGCTTGTAAACCAAGCCTGAACGGGTGAGCCTCGAAAAGAAACCAAGTGTTCTGGGTTGGCTGAAGGATCAGGCTACCCCTTTGCAAACCAGCCCAAACCCTTTGAAGCGAAATCAACCGGACGAATCAAACGATGTTCTTCGGTGGATGGCGCAACCGCGGCGCTGCTCCCTGGAAACCAACTGGTTTCTGTGAGAGGGGTTGCGCAGTCTCTCCAAGAAAATTTTGGGGAATTCTGCTTGCCTTCCCACTCAATCCCCATGATCCCAAAAACCCTGTCCGGAAATCTAACCCGCGTAGGCGGTTCCCGAAGTCAAACAAAACTTGGGACGCTTCGGACCCGAATCCGCCAACTCAGCAAGTAAGCCAGGCGCATGTTGCTGAAGTTGAGGTCCACCAGTGCAGGGTCATCTAGCCACGCCCGGTGCACCTCAGACACGAATTGCCGGTGGTTGGGCGCCCACCCCAGTTCACTGAAGGGAGAGTCAAGTTGGTCACCATGCCTATCGTGAAGAATGGGACTTGTTTGAGACACTGGTGGGCTGGCCGTGCTTTATGGTTGGTTGAAAACACACCATGGGCGGAAAATCATTCCCTCGTCCTTGTACCCTTGTCCCAAGACAGGCAACGCTGCAATCAAAGCCGAGAAATCGCAATTCAGAAATTGGCAGCAAGTCCCTGCCCTCTGCGTCATGTCAGCCCTAAAGCAAACATATACTGTTGATGGACGAATTCCATTTCGCACCACCTCAGAAACCATGGTTAAAACCATCAGGTTCGTTGTCATTTAGCTTGGGGAATCGTACATCATTCTGTCAGGTTTCTTTGAGGTGCGAAATAGCTTTCGTCCATCCACAGTATAGTTTCAACGAGTTTTCTTCAGGTTCCGTGGTTTCCTATCATCCCTTTTCTTAAGTCCCCTGAAAACTATATAGGAAAAACAGATACTTCCAGTAGGGATAGATTCCCTTTAGAACCAACAGGTTCTAGGATCCAAATGGTTTCCTATGGTTCCTAGAACCTCACATCAAAGCCCTACCATCCCAAACCAAAGCTGGGAGCTTCTCCGAGGCTAAGCCTCCTGACCATCCAGATCATCCAGTCGCCATAGGAGCCCCTCAGGCACGTGCTTCGATCAAACGGACGAACGCCCCCCGCCACAAATTCAAATGGAACCCAAAAAGAGGGTCCCCCAAAAGCAGACTTTCCAACAAACCGCCTGGAAATTCGCGTGGAACCCACACATGGACAGCCCTTTTTTAGCGGTTCAATGCCTATGTGCGGAGTGGCTCCGGCCCCCAATTCACTGAACATCATTGGTGGGGCTTTGGCGAAACATAGACTGAAGTAAACCAAACGGCCAAACGTTGCTTTGGGACGTGGATAAAGCCAGTCTACTCGCCCAGGCCTACAATTCGGCCCAGGGTTCCACTTTTGGAGTGCCCCAAGGCAGACAACCCAGACCTGGCTCATTCTCCAAAAAGGAGACCCCCAGGTGTTAATTCGTCTTTGCGGTCAAAAAGTGGAACCCTGAATCGGCCATTCGTTTCTCCAAGAAGGCCCCGCCCGCCTGATTTTGGCGGGCTCCGGGAGCATGTGCTCGATCTGTGTCACCTGCCGGGGCTGCCAGCATGGGGCATGGTCGATATCATGCAAAAAGAACTGCAAATGGGTGAGCGCGTTTTCTGAGCGGGTTTTGGGTTTCGAAGCAAACAGGAAAACCACATGTGAGTGTGTGGCAGTCAACTAGGACCATATCATACCAGGAAACTCGGGCATGTCATGACTCATGACCCTTGCAGCCAGCAAAACCTAGCCATCAACAAGCTGGCCGTAGCCAGCGCATTGCAGGTCAATGCCAGGACTTTAGGCGTCTGAGCACTACTCCAACATTCCTTCTTAGAATCAGAGCTCGAGGGTAAAAATGAGCACCAGGCAGTCTCCAGCAAAGTGGCGAAGTCCTGGCAATTTGCTCGGCCAACCCACCCACCCCAAACCGCATCTCACACGCCTTTGGCCCGAAACTACAGTATTCAATAAAAACGAAAAGGAACGTGTCTGTCTTAATTTTGAGAGTGCCCCTTTTCTTTGTGCTTTCAAGGGGAAGCTAACAGGAAAACCACCATTTTGGCGGCCTAACGACAAACACATCCCACATGGTCCTCGTTGATGGACATTGACACGTGGTCGCACTCCGGAGGGTCCTCCACCTCAGCATGGTCGCCATTTCGGCCAGCCCCCGTCCTCCCGAGAATTTGCCTACGTGCGAAAGCAGGTGGGTAAGGCGCTCGTGTTGGTAAATACTACCTGGACCCTCAAACTACCTAAACAAAAACGGACTTCGCCCCACAATCTTGGGGTCATAACCCATTTTTAAGGGAACTTTGAGGGTCCGGGTGCCCGTTAGATGAGGTGCTCCTTGAACAAACTGCCGCCTATCTGTGGTGCCTAGCGTCATTGGCTACCACGTCGCAATTGAGCGGCTGGACGGAAGGCAATAAGAAGGCTCATACATGTTGATTTATCATAGTCATATCTTAGAATGACAAATGACTTCTTACAGCACGATCTGTGAATTGGCTTCATATTCATATTGCTGCTTTATCAACTGTCGATTGATCATATTGACTTAGTTATTACGATGTATTGTCTTCATACCTCTTCATGTGGTTTCAACTGATTGCCTCACTCACCCTGTATCCTTTTGTCTCTCTTCCTCTTTCTTCTTTCATTGGCATCTTTGCAAAACCATGTTTGACGCTTCTGACCCGCGCAGCCTCCGATGAATACTGCAATACTTGGATATATACCACAAACGAATCACGTCCACGCTGGTAACCCAGGTTTCGTTCTCCAGCTCAACTACTGCGCGGCCAAGAAACATGACAATACCTTGGCGTTTGTCCAAAAATAATTTGGTCTCTGAGCCATTAATGGTTGGAGCTGTTTTCGCTCAAACCCATGGGTCCAAACCCCGCCTTGAGCAGCAGCGCGGTTGTGGAGGTGGCCTGGACGTGTCGTGTGTGTGTGTGATAGAGCCCTGCAAGCCATCGCAGGGAGAATTATTTTGCATGTCAATGGCAAGGATGCGTCATCCTAATGACTTTCTGGTTGATTGGCGGGCGCCCAAAGTGTATCCAACCAAGCGGACGCGCGCCGTGTTTCGCATGGGTCTACGGCAAGATTGGTTGAGCTGTTGCATTGTGCCTGAACTTGCCAAATTTATTGCAGCCCTTGCGCCGTTCTTTTCCGGGGTACTGAGGTCAGCTGCGCAAACAATGCAGCAAAGGATGCTTGAACTGACCACTATACTGGATCATGCTTGCCGGTGCACACGTTTGGACACTTGCGATGGGAAACACGATGAACTTGTTGAACTGCGAAAAACGACAAGCCCAGCGGATCGCTAAGTCTGGCAGTGAGGAGCCGATAAGCAGGTTCAACAGAGCCAAGGATCTTCTTGCACGAACTCAGCTTTTTAACATCATGCATGACTCGGGAGTCCCTAGCTGGACTCAACATTGAACCGTGATTGATTTGCGGCTCTTTCCGCACTGGCAGAAGCGCCCACCACACAGCGCTGCCTCTACTGGTGGCTTTGGCAAGGCACGCTTCTAGATGCCAACGGGTTACTCGAAAGCGGGCCTTCCCGGACCAACAAAAAGGACAAGCCATACGCGGCACGGAGCCCATGGCCTTGATGACATATTTCTGCTCCATGGGCTCAACCTGAGCCGGAGAGCGGTGGTGAACGAAAGGCACTTCTAAAAAACGGTTTGGAGGTGGCTTTTGCGGATATTAATTAAAAAAGTAGCAACTGAGAACCTACATGGGGAAAAACAATCGGTGAAATCCACAAAAGCGCATTGAAACCATTGTCTAAACTTCCGATCGCCCTGCCCTGTCTGCCGATGTCTGATTTCGGGCCCCCAAAAAGGGCACCAACTCTCTGTAGCAAGTACATGGGTTGCATGGGGTCCCCACTCTGATACATTCCTAGGTGACCATTTGTGCGCTTCACGATTCCCCGGCTACCCCTCACAAAAGTCTGCCCGCTCGGCTTTGGCTTTGCCCTCCCCAAAGCCGCGGCTGCCATCGTCCCCCACCTGCCAAGTCCAACGCCCGAGGAGCTACGTCGCCCAAATCACCGGATTCACCTACGGGGTTCCTCCAAATTGGCATTGGTCAATGTTAACCCTAAGCCTGCTGTTGATCTTTTCCTGCATCTTGATTTTAGACAAGGGCAAAGATATGAGATGTTCCCAAGCGTTTTACAATTTGAATGAACCTGGTAGAAACCTGGTGGTCAGTAGGGAATGACCTTCAGGATGTTGGGAATATATAAACCTAGGGATTCCCTTCAAGGAAATCATAAGGGATTGCTTATAGGGATCATAGGGGTCATTCCATTTCTCATTCCCTTTCCATCGCACCAGGAAGAAATCGGGCACCCTTTCTGGCCTCATTTCACGATGATCAAAGTCACCTAAGTGGTGGGTTAAAGGGAAACAACCACATTTTATGACTTTGACAGCCCCAAGAAACGGTCAAAATCATGGCGCCAGGTGGCTTTCCAGATCAGGGAAGCCCCCCACCCACCACCCCGCCGCCCGCCCCAACGCCCCGAGGCGCCCGGCCGGGTGCCCGGTGATGCAGCCGCTGGCTGGGTCCAAGCGCAGGCCCTGAGGGAGGCAGGGCTCCACCTCGAAGTGGGCGCCTCGGCTCGGGGGAAAAACGCCAGCATAAGCCAAATCAGTTGGTGGCTTGGATTGGTGCGCTTATGTTGGTGGTTTAGGTTGGTGGTTTAGGTTGGTGGCTTGGGTTGGTGGTTTCTGTTGGTGGCTTGAATAAGTGGCTTGTGAGAGTCCTAGCTGGGCCAAAACAAACATATTCAAAGCCATCAATGCACATGTAGAGAACTTGGTCTCAGTCGCGGTTTTGGATTCCGGGGTGGGCTCTCATTGGCCCTCTGCAAAAACCTGGGGTTCCAAACCGCAAGCCGCCAATCCAAACAACGAGTTCGCGGGCACCTGACTGTGGCTGTGTTGCTTGTCGAATCTCGGTATTTGTTCCGATTGATTTCAAGGAAATCAATCTGAAAAGAACAAAAAAGCTGTTCGGGTCCTACTGACTGGCAGGATTGGGCAACATATGTTCAAACAACCCACTCCTGGTCCTCATCAAAGAAAATGGAGCTTGTTGTGTATCCTAATGCCCCACGCGCCCAAACCTCTGCACTTGCCATAAGGCTGACCTCCTGGTCGCTCTGGAGCCAATGGTCGAATGCTCACCTGGCCGCGTGTTGGCCGCCCATGGTTGCAAGCGAAATGGATGTCTCTTTGAGGAAGCCATAGGTCTCCTGCGTTTGTCTTCTTAAGCCACGGTTTATTTTTTATTCGCGCGCCTTTGTGCCTTTGTGCTGGGATTTTCCGGGAAACCAAAGGAACACAAGCCGCTCAGCGCGTTGCAGCGGGTTTCTAACCATGAGACAAAAGATTCAAACACGCATCTGACATCTCCACAACCTACGCTCTTGCGGAAGCTTCTGTGATCCCAACCTTGGTGCCGTGGAAAGTCGAGAAGCTACTTCCTTTGATCTGCCAGCCGGGCCTCGCAGTAGCACACTTGATAGTAACCTGGAGAAGATCCAGAGTTTTACACTTCTCACAATGTGAGGGAGATAAGGGGTTTCCTAGGCATGGTTGGACAATATCGAACAAGTTCATATTAGGTTACTCTCTACTTTCCGCTCCCTTAGCAAGATTATGGACAGTTGTGAACTCCAGAGCTCGCACCACAGGAATCAGAAACCCAAGATCATGAGTTGATCCCGCAAGGTAAATACCAACAAACCTTCTGGTTTCGACCATGGTTTCTTAGGTGGTGCGAACTGGATTTGGTCCATCCACAGTACGAAGAGGGATTGAACAGATTGGCAACTCGCAAAGCGCATAAGACTTTCCAGGCAGCTTGCCAACTAAACAGGTAAACACGGCTCTTGGCCCAAGTGCTCCCCCTGCAACGCCTCATCACCTGTGAAGATCGCACCCACGGCAGGATACTGCCTCACGGCGCACCACGCGATGCCCGCGGCAAGTTGTCTCGAGATCAAGTTGTGCATCATTGAATAAAACGCAAGGCGGGCCCATGGCCAAATCCACGTTCACAGGTTTGGCAGGTGAGTCGCCCCATGCCCACTGCTTGCGCTTCAAGAATGACATCACCCCTCCCCCGAGTCTCCGGCAGAGCCGGCTTGACGGGCAGATCGCGGGAAGCGGCCTGGGACCAGTTTCCGGGCCCCCGGCCACCGGAGAGTTTGCTGAGGGGATCAGCTCAGACCTTTCAGTGGGCGTCATTTGGGTGTGGCTCAAAATTGAACAGGAGGGGCAAACCGCAGGTTTTGGTCCATGTTTCCGCTTACCAGGGTTCCATTTTGGCACCGGTTTCTTGAGCCACAGCCAGTTACATGGGGATGCATCTTCACCAAACTGGGCTGTTCAAAATGGAGGGTTGGCCAACCCGATTTTCCATAATCCTTATAGGGGAGCCACTACAAAAGGACCCCTTGCGTAACCGAAAATAAGGATTCAGGATTACCGCTGAACAGCCCAGCTGCCAAACAATTTGAAAGGTTGTCTTTTCACCAGCTTGGCGCTCATCATTGGTAGCTTCATTCGTTTTCGCCAGAAGTTTCCCTGCCACGCTCGTTGGATCGGAAAGGTCCATAAACACATTCGAAAAGGAAGAGTTGCCGCATGTCCCTTGGTGAACTAAGTGTCCCAAACATCTTGCATTGGGATCCGTCTTGACTACGCTTACCTTTCATGTTTTTAGGTCCCCTGGAAACAAATCCAGTAGTGATAGATTCCCTCCAACAGGCGCCATAAGCAAATGGGCGCTCCTTTTAGAAACTATCTTGCTCCTTCTCGGCAAATGCGTGCGAACTGCTGCCTTGTGGGACAAACGGTGCTCGACTAACAGTTTCTTGAAACAACTGAAGATCCTTCTGGCCGCAACCTGAGTGACCTGCAGAACAAAGTAGGCGGTTCAGCAGAGACTCTCTAACCTTCATTGAGTCAGGAGTTGTGGGAGGCTTGACTCCTAAAGCCACACAACGCTCAGATATCCCGTGCAGCTTGTTTTCGTGCCAAGACACGTGTTAGACTTGCAGTCTCCCGGCCAGCACCACATGGAAAGCATGGATTTGCCCTCTCCCTGGGCATGCATTTTCTAATTTGCCCAAAGGAAGCCGTGGGAATGGGTATGAACAAGGGCTCCCTAAGATCTGGACCGGGACCCTACAATGGGTATGGCACAACTTGCACTTGGGTAGGCAAGAAGGCCCAAACGCCTTGAGGGGATTGCTTGGTGCGCTTCTTGGATGCCCAAAACCATCTGCTCAAATGAACAAACTTAAAACCGCGACAACCACTGATCTGAAACGCCACTCCTTAAGGCTCAGTCAACTTTCAGTGTCACTAAGTTGGATGGAGGGTCCATTTGATGACTCCAGCTCACCCAAACGCAGCTCTGGCGGAAACCGTCCCGAGGGAAGCGCCGCTTCGCCGCAGCCCAGGTCGTGGAACATCAGGAATGTGTCCACCAAGCCCCGCGCCGGGTGCTGGAACGCCCTGGACCCCCGCGCCCAGTACGGAAGCTGGGGGACCTCAATCCTCAAGCAAGCCTAGTAGACCCCAGGTTTGGCAACTTGTTCCTAAGGGGTGTGCCCTTTTCGGGCTGTGCAAGTCAACTCTCCCCGCATGGACATGTTCACAATGGGGGGGTCGCCAGTCCACGTCAGTGAGCCGTAGTGGGATGACAGGGGAAGCGTGAGCCTCTACCATCCGAGCGGAACCGGTGTCTTCCTCATTTCCGGGGTGGATGTGCCGAAAACAGTAACCAAACTGTTTGTTTAACACTCAAATGATCCAAACCCCCAACAACAAAAGCAACTAAAACAGTCTTCCCAAAAAGTGGCTCAAGTCCGAGTTCCGGAACTTAGGGGGGGCTTTCCAGCGCCTGGGCAACGTGCAGAGCAGGCGGAAGCCACAGGCGGCACAGACCCGCTGCGCCGCCACGTTGGTGGCCACGACCTCTCGCGAGAGCCGCGCGCGACGCGCGAAGCTCCCCGCGAGTCGCGAGAGGAGAACCCAAATTGGCGCAACAGGGTGGTCCTGTTGGGTTTCCCTTTTACCCTAGGGTTCCTTGCCCCCATCAAAAGAATGGCAAGGACTCAACTCGGATGATGAAAGTCCTGAAATAATTGTGGCTATATAAACCCCTTTGATTTCATGGTGGTTTGAACCCCAGGGTTTAAGCCACAAAAGAAAGGAAGGTTGGCGTGGTTCCAAGAAGTGAGTCACAATCAAACTCCGGTACTGAAATGGTCTAGCCAGAAACCATGTAAAGCAATAGGAAGGCGGTGAAGGCGCCCATTTATGGCTGGGGTTATCCCTTACCCTCCAATTACCGGGTTTTGAGCAAGTGACTCAGTCAAAAATCCACATGGGAATGTTGTTTTCTTTGCACCTGCATTCTCTGAGGGCCATGCTTGTCCAAGTGAAAACCCACCCCTGACCTAGCTAGAAATCAGCTTGGGCCTCAGCCCGGAGTCATGAACCCGTCGCATGTATAGGGGGGGTGCCCTCCAAAAGTGAAGGATTCCCGCTAAAAAGGGGACACCCTATTCATCAGCCATGCGTTTATAAGTCCTGAGGTACTACTAAAATCCCTTAAGCTTCACTTATTCCCCGGGGTGTCCCTCTGAACATCTCTCTTGGTTTTGCGCTGGTTCCTCACCTGGGCTGTCCGTTTTCAGACCCCCGGCCATACGCTTAACTTTTAGTGGGCAAAATGGAAACACCACGCAACCAGCTAAAAACAACCAACAACCTACAGAACCAAATGACCGGACCAGCAACAGGGATCCTTACATTATACACCTGGACATTGTAACTTGTAAATGGTGTTGTGTCGCTTTACTTTGGTGAAAAAAAAGCAACATGTTTTTTTAATGGTGGCAAAATGTATCTATCTTTTAAGGAGCCCTGAAGAACCAAGGGTTTGAAATCCAAATCCAAACTACCAGCTACCGTACCCACACAGAAGGACAAAGATGGCGAAATCCATCATGACTAGTCTCAAGTTGAGCTGCCTTTCCCTGATCTCTGCTCCTCGCTTTCGCCTTTCGCCTTTCGCCCCTGAGCCCTGAGGCACCGGCCATGTTGATTCGCATTCCTCGGTAGCCTACGTGCAGAGGTTCCGCCGTGCAGCGGTTCCGCGAGCCCCGGGTTTCCCCCCACCCCAAACCACCGGTGCTTTCGCTTCTGGGGCCTTGGGATTTTTCGTGGGCCGCCCTTCATGAGCCAAATAAATGCCCAACCCGTGGGTGCCGGCCTCGCTTTCTGGCCTCTTGGATCGAGTGCTCGCCTCAGTTCTTAGAGAACTGCGACAGCAATGCAGGGCAAGGTAAGCAACTGGATCAACTTCGCCAATCTTTGGCCAAAAGCTGGATGTGGGACTAGTCACTAGTTTCTAACGTCACAAAGGTAACGAGAGGACTCCACGACTCACCAAGCCATGGCTCACCTTGCAACCTGGCCTTATCTCTTTTTCAGGCGGCACGCCGCCCTTTTTCTTCCGCAAGAAAGCGCGGAACCGTAGAAGTCGGCTTGAGGCCTCAGACGACGATGCGCGCCATCTCACTGCTTTTGACCTCAGCGTGGACATCATGGACCAAGTCACGTGCTGCTTCGAGTCACACTGAGGCCCGTTGTGGCGGGGGTTGTGCTGGACCTGGAAGTATTGGCTTCACACATAGAACGCCAGGTGACGCACCAACATGCCGAATGATATCTAAGAAACCACTGCTTTGTTTTCTCTGGCAGCCCATGATGCTCCGCCACATGGACAAGCAAGTCTCCAGTTGGAGACATATCAGCTGTCACCCTGATAAGAACAAATGCAGCCAATTTGATTCCCTGCTTGCATCCTACTAACCAATTTCCAAGAAATTGGCAAAACACCTTCGTTCACTTGAACACTGATTTTCAGCCAAATGTCCGAAGAGTGACTATTGCACAAAGGAGACGGTTGCTCTACATCACAGAGCTTGCAGCCCATGTGAGAAGCAGTCTGTCCTGGCTCCACTCTAAGCACGAGGGGTTGCCGCAACTTCCAACCTGAAGCCCTTTCTTTTGGATGACCCTTGAGCGCCCATGTCAATGCCATTGCCCAATATCATGACGGCCGTGATGAAGGGCAGACAAGGGCTGCTTTGGCTCGATATCATTGAATGTCAGGCGTGCCGACTTGCAACCATCCCTATTGAAACATTCCGCTACATCGCATGAGGCTTGCTTCATGGCAAGGTGCGCTGTTCAAAGGATTCTGTCCTTGTTTCCGCCTAACTCGGCCTCCAAAGAGCTGGTTCTGCCGGGGCCCCCACAGGCCGCGCCGCAATGCACTTCGCGGCCACTTGGCAACTGGGGCATTCCTGACGAGCACAAGGTGCTCGCTTTAAGCAATGTTAGCTCATGGGCTTACGGCATGCAGTGTACATTGGCCCTCGTAGGCTACGTAATTTCCCGCCATGCAGCAATGAAATGACAACAATCCCCCCCTCTGTGCTGCAGGTTAGCACTGGCCCTCAAGGATGAAGCAGCGCGTGCGCATACCACTGTTCAGTGGCATGCTTGCGCCATGCTTACCAGCAGTTAGTTGACATGTTGGAGGCTCTGTCACCTTGACCACTGGCTGCCGAGAAACCAGATCCAATGAGGCTCAACCTGCTGGACGACGCATCTAGACTTGGAAGG